TACCTAATTCATAAAGTACATGCAAATTTCCGCACGCTAGAGCGGCCTCGACGCCTCAGACGGAAATGGCTGCATATCGCACCCAGACGATCTTAAGCTTTAATGGAGGGTATTCTTGAGCGATCGACTCGGTGATTTCAGGGTTTTTGTCACTCGCGCGCGCCAGTGGTGAAACTTCAACGGGGTAGTCAATAATGTAAGTCGGCTCCCACAGTTGGCTTTCAGCGGTTTCTTCAAATAAACTTAACTGTAGCGAGCCCAAGCCTGCGTGGTCAAACACTTTGATGCCGCGCTTGTAAAGCTCAGTACGCAAAAATGCGGTGTCATTGAGTTGTTCCAAGGTGTATTCAGGCGCATATTTTTGAATCGCACCGACAATGGTTAAACGTTGAAACGGTTTGCTTAAATCCAGCGGTTTGCCTGCGTATTCCAACACCGCAGTGCCGCGGGCGGCAATGGCAGCGGTGCGGATACAATTTTCAGTAAAGTCCATTAGCCATTGGTAATCAGTATATGCCGCATAAAACTCCATCATGGTGAACTCTGGGTTATGGCGCACGCTTAAGCCTTCATTGCGGAAGTTGCGGTTAATTTCAAACACGCGCTCAAAACCACCGACCACCAAGCGTTTTAAGTAAAGCTCAGGCGCTATGCGCATAAACATTTGCATATCTAACGCGTTGTGATGCGTAATAAAGGGCTTTGCCGATGCCCCACCCGGAATGGGGTGCAACATCGGTGTTTCAACTTCTAAAAATTCATTTTCAATCATGTAGTTGCGAATAGAAGACACCACTTTGCTACGCGCAATAAAGGTGGCGCGGGTTTCTTCAGAGGTGATTAAATCCACATAACGTTGGCGATATTTCACTTCTTGGTCTTGCAGGCCGTGAAATTTTTCTGGTAATGGGCGCAGTGATTTTGTCAGCAATTTAATTTCGCTCACATGCAATGAAAGCTCGCCCGTTTTGGTTTTCATTAAGCGACCTGATGCGCCCAAGATATCGCCCATATCCCAATGTTTAAAACTTTCATAAAGTTCTTCACCTATTTCATCGCGCGCAATATATAGCTGTATTCGACCTGTAGTATCTTGAATCGTCGCAAAGCTGGCTTTACCCATCACGCGTTTTAGCATCATGCGCCCAGCAACGATGGCAGGAATATTTTGCGGGTCTAAGGTTTCTTTATCTTGCGTACCATACTCCGCATGTAAATCTTCCGCTTTGTGCTGTGGCTTAAAATCATTAGGAAAAGCCGCACCATTATTGGCTTTAGCGGTTTCACGTATGGCTTTTAGTTTTTCGCGGCGCTCGGCAATCACATGGTTTTCATCAAGTTTAATTTCATCTCCAATCGAAACTTTAATTTCTACTTTTCCAATGTAATAACCTTGAGTTTCAATCGCTGTAAATAGAACTGAGGTATCAACAGCAATCAATTTATCTACTCCAGCTTTAAATTCGATTGTTTTAAATAACTCCCCAACAAAATCCAATTTTTGATTAAGTAGCGAAACGTCAGAGCCTTCACGAACAAAAATATATTCATTTGAAGATTTTTTAGATTTGTATATATCTACTTTCACTTTCTCATACTCCCTGTTTCAAACTTTCCATAATAAAAGGATCTAGGTCACCATCTAGCACGCCTTGGGTATTACCAATTTCCACGCCAGTGCGCAAATCTTTAATGCGGCCTTGGTCTAGCACGTAGCTGCGGATTTGATGCCCCCAGCCAATATCCGTTTTAGCGTCTTCTAGCGCTTGCTTTTCGGCATTGCGTTTGTTCAACTCCAGATTATACAACGCGCCTTTAAGCATGTTCATTGCTTCATCGCGGTTGCGGTGTTGGCTTCTATCATTTTGGCATTGCACCACCACGCCTGTGGGCAAATGCGTAATACGCACGGCTGAATCGGTTTTATTAATGTGCTGGCCGCCCGCGCCAGAGGCACGATAAGTGTCTATGCGTAAATCGGCTGGGTTAATGTCAATTTGAATACTGTCATCCACTTCAGGGAAGATTTGCACACTGGCAAAACTGGTGTGACGTTTGGCGTTAGAGTCAAATGGGGATTTGCGAACTAAGCGATGTACGCCATTTTCAGTGCGAAGCGTGCCGTAAGCATAATCGCCAGTTACCTTGAGCGATGCGCCTTTAATGCCCGCCACATCGCCATCTGAAAGTTCTAACACCTCTACCTTAAAACCTTTACGCTCGGTGTAGCGCAAATACATGCGCAGCAACATATTGCACCAGTCTTGCGCCTCAGTGCCGCCAGAGCCAGATTGAAACTCTACAAAGCAATTAGCACTATCGAGCTCGCCCGAAAACATGCGCTGAAACTCCATCTCGGCGATTTGTTTTTCAAGCGCTAGCGAATCCTGAGCAATGCTGTTGAGTGTGTCATCATCATTTTCTTCACGCGCCATGTCAAAGAGTTCTTGCGCGTCTTTAATGCCCGTTTCTAGGTTTTGCAAATTATGCACCACCAGTTCTAAACTGCGTTTTTCTTTGCCGAGTTTTTGTGCTTTCTCTGCGTTATCCCACACTTTTGGGTCTTCTAGCAGACCATTCACTTCTTCTAGTTTTTGTGACTTGTTTTCAAAGTCAAAGATACCCCCGAAGGGCAAGGTGGCAAGGGCGGCGGGCCATTTTCATTTGGTAAAAGTAAAGCCCGTCAGTTAGATGAAAGCAACAACTCCACTACCTTTGCAGATGTGGCAGGTTGCGATGAAGCCAAAGAAGAAGTGACGGAAATTGTAGATTTCTTAAAAGACCCTACTAAATTTCAAAAGCTCGGCGGTCGTATTCCGCGCGGTGTACTCATGGTGGGCCCTCCAGGCACGGGTAAAACTTTATTAGCACGTGCTATTGCTGGTGAAGCCAAAGTGCCATTCTTTACCATTTCAGGCTCTGACTTTGTTGAAATGTTTGTCGGTGTGGGTGCATCGCGTGTACGTGATATGTTTGAAACTGCAAAAAAGAGTTCACCCTGCATTATTTTTATTGATGAAATTGATGCCGTGGGTCGTAGCCGTGGATCAGGTACTGGCGGTGGTAATGATGAACGCGAGCAAACGCTTAACCAATTATTGGTGGAGATGGATGGTTTTGAGGCTAATTCTGGCGTGATTGTGATTGCTGCCACTAACCGTGCCGATGTACTCGATAAAGCCTTGCTTCGCCCAGGCCGTTTTGACCGTCAAGTGATGGTGGGCTTGCCTGATATTAAAGGTCGTGAGCAGATTTTATTGGTGCATATGCGTAAAGTGCCGATTGATGTGGATGTGAAAGCTGACATTATCGCCCGTGGCACACCTGGCTTTAGTGGTGCTGATTTGGCTAATTTGGTGAATGAAGCAGCGTTGTTTGCTGCACGCCGCAATAAACGCACGGTGGATATGCAGGATTTTGAAGATGCTAAAGATAAAATCTTTATGGGTCCAGAGCGTAAAAGCATGGTCATGCGTGAAGAAGAGCGCCGTAATACGGCTTACCATGAAAGTGGCCATGCGGTGGTGGCTAAGCTCTTACCAAAAGCTGACCCCGTGCATAAGGTCACCATTATGCCGCGCGGCTGGGCATTAGGTTTAACTTGGCAGTTGCCGGAGTTTGATCGCATTAGCAATTACAAAGACAAAATGCTGGAAGAGATTTCCATTTTATTTGGTGGGCGTATTGCCGAAGAAATTTTTATGCATCAAATGTCAACTGGTGCAAGCAATGACTTTGAGCGAGCCACAAAGTTAGCCCGTGCCATGGTCACCAAATACGGCATGAGTGATGCCCTTGGCACCATGGTGTATGCGGGTGATGAGCAGGATT